GAATCATAAGATATACCGACGTCTTCTATTACTTCTCTAATAGTTAATTGACGATTATTTCGAATAATTTCTCGAACCCGAGCAACAGTTTCATTTGTTTTACTGGTCGATGGTCTACCGGGTCGTTCGTTATCCTTGACGGATGTTCTATCTTCCTTAAACCGTTTAAACCACTCAAGAACACTCAGAACATCATCTCCAAAAGCTTACTGCAAAAGTTCAAAAGTTTCACTCAAACTTTTTCCTAATTTAAAACAAAATTTTACGCGCACACGTTGTTCTTCTATTCCTTCCTTTACGGAATTCGCCACATGACTGAAGCATGTTTTTGTAAAAATAACATAAAATAAATACAAATATTGTTATCGATTTCAAATCAACGCTCAAATCCTCGTTAGAAGTTACTTTTTCGAATGACATTATCGGAATTTCGTTATCTTAACTGATATAAATATTATTAACGCAGTCCGGGTATTTTTTGATCACACCTCGTATATAAAAATATTAAACATAAAAAAAGTTATTTTTAATTTGTCAAATAGTCCTGTCACACTGTATTTGTAAAAATAACCCCCGATGATATTCATAGGAACATAGGCGCAACTAGAGCTCAAATATTGGAGGTGCTGAAATTATCCAATAAGATTCTTCTTCAGCTTTTAAAGGCCGTTAAGACCCATCACTGCACCACACAGCCTCCTCCAATTCTCTCTATCACTCACTCGCTACCGACTCCTCCGAGTTTTCAACCCTTAGTATCCGGAAATTCTGATTGGGCTCGTCTATCCACCTTTTCTTCGGTCCACCCAGCGATCTCTTGCCTTCTGGTTTCCATTTAAAAGCATCTCTCATTATCATTCATTACTATAATTATATAGTAATTACTATAGATTATATATATCTGAAAAAAGAAGTACTACATTTGAACACAGGGGTGCTAAAAAAACCCTACTGCGTACCCCTAGTTTCACCTATGCATACGAAAACACTTCAGGTAAAACCTATGAGTTCTAAAATATCAGGAAAATCATATTGAAAACATAAAGACAATACCCTCCAATATTACGGTAGGTACTCCTTTGGATACGTGGCCTCGGGTTCTACGAATTATGATTCAAAGATATCTGTTAACATGCGGAATACCGTATTGCCGATTATTAAAACTTAGGAATTCGATCCGCAACCGGAAAGATACGATATATCCAACACGCCGATATTTTATACAAGTGAAAATACTTTAGCAATAAAATACCAAAATTTAAACTGTCATTAACGGAGTATTTGATTTCCTTGAAAATTTTTTTGGATAAATATAAAATTAAAATATTTAAAATTGTTCCTGTGCGTTTTCAGTATATTTATATATTAGTAATAACTACTTTTGAAGAACTGGTGTGGCGTTAAAATTTCTAATTTTTTTTTACCGAGCACCATTTTTTATTGGTTTTATACAAGAATATAAAGTATTATATTTATATATTTTAATGGTCTGGGATACGATTTTCCTTGGACATTTTTACCTCTTTTTGCGTTACAGATATCCCCTGAGTTTATGATGTTGTATCGGAAAAACAATAACTCTAGGAATATCCTACCCACAGGGGCTATGTATTTCCGAGACTAAAATAGATTTGTGACACCGCAATAAGCTGTCACATTCACGTATCTTTCATGTGCGTTTCCTAAATTAATATAAAAACGGATTTTATTCAATTTTTTATCTATTACCTTCAAATTGTTTTACTCACGTGCTAACAGATAATTTAAATAAAATAAGTCGATAAAATACACAAAAATATGGAGAAGTCGACACAGTATGGCACTGAAGCACTGATTGTCTTGGCACCCGTGAGAGAAATCGTTTTCCCGGTGGACAAGTGTCAATTTTTTAAATTAGAACTTTAAGGTGCACGGAAAAGTCATTTAAAAATGGTGTGATTGTGTTCAATTTGAGCGAACGATGGTCTTTATAATAAAATAGTAAAATAATTCAAAGAATTGTTTTTAAAAAAAATATCGTTTTTATTTTAAATTACTGTCGATCATATTTCGGTCTATGAGTGCACCGGTGGCGTAACTAGAAATTATTTAAGGGGGGGGGGAGGTCTAACAATTTTACTTAATTTGTTTTCTAAATATAATCACAGTAATGGGCGATCGTTGGGAAAGGAAAGATTGTACACTTCCCCCCCCCTTATCTAAAAAAATAATATTAACATAAAATTGTATTACCATTTTGATAATTATAACTCTGAATTAAAAAAACAAAAATTGGTCCCTTTTTAAAGTTTTGCATATGGGCACCCATGATCATGGTTAAATTTATAACCAACAGAGTACTATAAAACATAAAATGAATAATAAGTTATAACAAGGGCTGGAATTTTAATGCCCTAAAACTTTAATCTGATTGGCAGTTATTAAATTATAAATAATTTGCAAAGAGATTTTCTGAATGGGTTTTTAAATCCATGTTTTCATTATTTGCTGATTTTTTTTTTT